GAAATGTCCCTATTGTGTGACTAACAGAGGAATAAAGTACTTCAAAATAAAAATTAATAATAGATCATCTTCTATTGGTTGATGTCAGAATAAACTGGAGCACACGTAGCAGCATCTTTTTATTTAAACTTTAAACAGAAACATTGCACATTTGCCTTTTCATGCCTTAAGGTTTCCTTCAGTTGAGCCCGCTATTAAATAAATCCAGAGTCCAAACTGGGAGAGGAGAGAAGAAATACAAGAAGCACGTTACATTGCAAAAAAGACGAGTAGAAGTCGGCCACGTCTGGAGACCTAATAGAAAAATAGAACAACGATATCCATAATTCACGTAACATGATGCAATAGAATTTAAGTCATGCATTTTCCCGGTGAGATAGTGTGTTTTACTGGTGAAGTTCAAAGTACGAGGTATTTGTCGGCTCACATGTTTGCTACATCCTTAGCAAGTGGTTGGATTTAATACTGCATAAAACATGCAATTCATAATTCGTCTGGTTGACTTCAGTTCAGCTCTTCAACTAAAATACAGTAGAGCACATCCATGCCACACGATGACACAGTCCAATTAACACAACTCCAATTAACAAAGGTACAACACAAGTCATAAGGCATACACACCTCCACTTAAGAAATACTTAGAATAATAATCATCAAATGAAATTAACAGTTTGTGACTACATGGGCACTTCAGTACTACACGTCTTCAGTCTTGTGTAGATTATAAAAGCTGTTTAAAGTTTGTGAGCTTTGAGAAAAGACAAAAGAAAATTAAAGGAAAAGTCTTAGGAAATTCACATATTCGCTTTCTGAGGGAAAAGCTGAACGAGGGGATATAAGTCGCATATCTGTCCGTTAAATAAGGCTACAGTTAGCAAACTAGCCTGGTCCTGTGCAACCATAACTTGTATATAAAGATGGACGACATGACTGCTTCCCTAAAGTGAAGCCAAAGCATCTCTGCCGCCTCCTGCTGGCTGGCTGCAGTATGGATCATAAACCCTGCCTCCTCCATGTTAAGGCTTGTTTGTGCTGCCTATTTGTATGAATAGAGATTTGTCCGTTTCAAACGATGTAACCATCACTGCCCACATACTTCCAGTTGTCTTTCAATGGCATGGTTTTTAAGTCACACATCCACTAGAGGGCAGCGCAGAGAGGGGAGTTTGTGACTCTTAAGAAATGCGACATGTGGACGATGATTCTTAGAATGTCTTTGTTGTGTCCCATGGTTGTGTTCATTTTTAGATGGGACTTCGCTACCATAGCTGTATTGGCTGCTGCGTGGACTCTGGTCTGAAATGACGTGATGGGGGCAAGATGGCTGCGTTTGGGATATTACGGCTTCGTTTTGGAATAGTGGGAGGAAAAGGTGATGTGTCGTCCATCTTTATCTGTCTGCAGCACCTCTAACGCTCAGTAAGTGACGCACTGGATCTACTTTATTGTTGGAGTATTTCTTGGCTAAATACAACCAGTGGAGACAGGAAATTTATGGTGCTGGCAAAGAAATAGTGCAACACACAAAAAAGCGAATAGTGGTTTGAACTCTTTAGCTTTGTCGGGATGAAAACTAAACAAGATGAAGTGTTAATGAGTTTTAGACGCAGCTGATCTTACTGAATTTCTTTCGGACTGAGCTAAGCTAGCTCTACCCCTTTAATTCCAGTCTTTATGCTAAGCTAATCCAACTGATTAGCACATTTGAGTGCGACTGACCTTATCTGACTCCAACAGAAAGCGAGTAAGTGTATTCCTGAGAACTTGGATGTGTTTCTGTTGAATTAGGAACTACTGTGTATTACTTTATGTTTGAGCTGTCAGTGTTAAATCAGTAGATGGGTAGAAATGTATTTATTTATGATACCAGAATAACTTTATCAAGGCACATTGTGTGTGTGTGTTTGTGTGACAAGTGAAACCCTGCATAATAAAACTGGGCAAAATAGATTTCCATACGTATATAATGTCAGTGCATCGTGGCTAACATGGGGAGACAACAGCTGCAGTCATTGGTTTTACAAATTCTGGCAAAAGAAACACAACGTCATGGTTCAACATGGATTTCCATACTATCTAAGAATCTAGGTGAGGAGGCCATGCATTTTTCATTAGGATCTTAAAACAAGGCACAGGAAGGGGGGGGCGGAGCACTCAATTTGCATTGCAAGCACTGTCACAGGTCCTGCTGTTCCTGCACCGCTTTCTCCTTCAGAGACTCGAAAGCCAAACAATCCAGAGCCTTTTCAAACAGCACTTAACTCAACTGCCTATGTACAAATTTACAAAAACATATCTCTGTCACCTCGGACAAAATGTGAGCAACGAGGAGGTACAGAGAGCTAAAAACCAACCACAGCAGAGGCGAAGGTTCCGCTGCGATATTCTTCATGCCTTTTTGTGTGCAATGCCCAGAATAGTTTGAGTTAGCTCACTGGTTGACATGTTGACACAGTGCTTTGAGTTTCCTTTCTGACATGGTGTCACCGGCTGATTCGTGGCTGCTCCGACAAGCTTGCCAAACACAACTCTGTCAGCCCTCAGCACATGGGAAGACTGAAGGGGGCAGAAAAACCTCTATGATAGCGCTGCACTCAAGTCTAAAGCCCATCTCTAGTAGCAAAAGCGAAGAGGAGCAGAGCCCAACAACCTCTGCATGCACTGCACTGCCTCTGTTGCAGGCTGCATTTAAGAGGAAAGAAGCCTAAGAGATCAGCTCGCAGGTGGCGACAGAAGCTAACTAACAGGTTTGGATGTTGTGCCGTCAGCATCGCCACCGCTGCAGCAGGGTGAGCTGCCAGTTTTAGCCACAGTGCAGCCACTGGTTTCTGCGCCGTCGCCGCTGCAAGGGCTGGCGGGCGCAGACACGCTCTGGCCACGTTGTCTCTTCTTGTTCAGTTCCTCCCATTTGTCCCTGTTCGCTCTGATCATGTCGAGCATCGGCTGGAGTTTGGGATTCAACTTGACCAGAGTCTGGAGAGAGAGAGAGGGAGAGAGGAGAACACGTAATGTCTATAGTGTAATACACAGTGTTGAAAACCTTATTTACCTCCATCAAGGTGTGTTTGATTGTTTGTTAGAAGGATTACACCAAAGCTACAAGGTGGATTAACTTGGTGAAGGATAGGATGGTGTGGATCAGGGAAGAAACCATTACATTTCTGGTGCAGACTCTTTAACATTTTTCACCATTTTCTGCAATCTCTCAGAGAATACTTCATGGATGTTGATGAAAAAAATCAGGATTTAGTGAATTTAAATGATGTGTGATAAGGAGCCTGTTGGACCCTGGTGGCTGGATGCTCTCTCTTGAGTCCCATTCTAGTTATATACTGGTTTTATAACATGGACGTGTGCATGAGCTTGAATTGAACTGGGAAAAGCACCACTAGCATAAAAAGGAGCAGAATCTGTGACTCATATATTACAATCACATTTTATTCGCTAAAGCGTTCTTAAAGATATATATTTTGTGATGCTAGCAATGCTAATGTGGTTATGGTAACTGAGTACAAACACAAGCTACAGCTAATGCTATGGGTATGTCATTTGATATTTAAGTATTAAGGTGATGGTGGCACTAGAGGAAATATCAGGAATCACCAACCCCACCGACTTTGCAATTTGAGAATTCGGATTTAAAATATCTTCATCATCCTGCAACAAACAGATTCTTTTTTCATTTGGATATTTCGAGGAGACTTTGAGGAGTGACACGTGTTAATTCATGACCTGTGTTTAAAGAATGTAACCAGATATTTATGAATTATTTTAGAGAATGTGACGCTCCGCTCGATGACTTGAATGCACATGAGCGGCACACAAAACCAGGGCTAGAGAAGCAGCACATTATTCATCAAACGCAGCAATATGTGCAAAGCAAATTAAACAAAAACACACAAGGACCGGCTTCACACAGTCGCTTGATAGCAGCGGTCCATTAAATGGCTGCTCTTGAAAGATTAGACGCACATGTATGACTGAGATTAGCTGTTTGTCATTTTTTTATGCTCTAAACTGTAAATGGCAGATAAGTAAAATAAATTACCTGCAGGTAATTTATTAAAATGACAGGGGGGATTGTGTTCCCTCTGTTCTGCTAACACTGTCGCCTGCTGGATTTCCAGGGACGCCTGTGTGATAACTTATTGTTTCATTAACCCTGTTTCATGTGGAAATATAACACATGGGCCTGGGTCCCACATTCCAAACAATACAGTTTTTCATTTATTCACACACATATATAGGAGTAGAATGGGCAGCCATTGTAAAAATGAGTAAAATAAATAGGTACATCTACAGGAGGTTGGGTTTTTTTGCATGACAAAGGGAAAATCAAATCTGCAGCTGGCAATTAACTGAGGTTTAAACGAAGGGCGACAATTTTCATTTATAGTCAGAGAGTGTTTAAAATTTAAAAAAAAAATGTTGGTGATCAACTGGAATTCACTCTAAAGTGTGGCCAAGTTAAGAAATCAAGAACACATTCTTTTATTAATGGAAAATTCATAATGTCTACTCATATGTGACAGAATCATTCATAATGTTGTATCTGCAGGAATGTGTGTGCTACTAATCATGAAGCCGTTCATCTGCGATCAACATTGGAGCGCAGCATGGATTTCCATTTCTGCGATTTGAGATAAAGTCGATGCAGTCAGGCTGCCTCTGCTCCGCTCCCTGCCCCTGATGTATGTATGTGTCATGTGTCTCTGCACTAATGTAGAACTGAAATGATTCATTAAACATCTGGATCAACACAAAATGAATCCACAGCTGTTTTAGTGAATAATTGCTCTGGGAATGTTTTTTTTTTGGCAAAAAGGTCAAATGTAAATGAGTGATTTGGGGGATTTGTTACTGTTGCTTGAAGAAAATAAGATGTTTATTATCTCTCTTCTCCTGAATTCCACCCAGCTCTCACCCAACCAGTTGAGGCAGACGGCTGCTGGTTCGGATGTTCTCTCCATAGTTGCCAATGTTTGCTTGTTGTGAGAATATTGGATTTCTCTTTAATTTTGTACGAACACTGACTATGTAAAATGCCTTGAGATAATGTATGTGATTTGGTGTAATACAAAAAAATTGAATAGAATTATCTAAAGACATCATCAAGA